ATTTAACTTGGTTGGCACATAATTCCACTCCATGCCTGCCGTCAACTCTTGTACTGCTGCTATGCGGCTTGAAGCAAAGATTTGAAACCGAGATGGCTCGTCGCGGATCCATGCTAGTGCAACTGCGGACTCCGACCAACAAAAAAACGGGCATTCAAAAATGTTCATTTCAGCGACCTCATGAATGAGTTGTGCCAACCGTGCTGCTCCACAAAGCTCTAGCTTCGGTATTGTAAGAGTTTTGAGGGGTGCTACACGCGACTTGGAGCAAAGTAAATGCACCTGCCTCTCGATTCCATTGTCGGATACTACGTATACACAGGCTCCATAAGCCTGAACGCTAGCATCGCTGAAGCCATGAACCTCGACCACACCTTTTGGCAGGATAGACAGCCGAGGAAAACTAAGTTTCGGTATGCGAACAAGATCTGAGTATAAACTATTCCATGATGAATCTAACGATGAGGGCAAACTTTCATCCCAGTCGAGTTGCTCCCTCCAAAGATGCTGAAGAAAAATCTTTGCTTTCGAAATAATGGGACCAATAAGCCCCAATGGGTCGTAAAAACGAGCAATTATTGATAAAATCGATCTTTTGCAATTCCTCTTTGCTGTGGCTGTGGGTGTAAATACGAAAAGTAGGCTATCAGAGGCTGGGTCCCAAGTAAGACCAAGCGTCTTAGTGACATTGCTTCCATCATCGAAGCTCAAGAGAGGTTCGGTATCTTCGCTTGGTATACCTTGAAGCAGATCCACATTATTAGTGCACCATTTCCGCAATTTAAAACAACCCTTCGCCAACATATTAGTAATTTGATTCATGATCTCTCTGACTTCTTGGACAGAATCCCCACCTGTAATAAGATCGTCGACATAAAAGTCTCGCCGCAAAATTTCAGCTCCAACAGGAAACAGCTTCTGCTCGTCAGAGGCTAATTGATGCATTGCTCGCACTGATAAAAATGCAGCCGGTCGAGTACCATAAGTTACTGTACCAAGTTTAAAAACTTGAACTTCATGTTGTGAAGTATCGCGCCACAATACGCACTGCAAGTAGGAGTCATCCTCCGAGACTCGTACACATCTGTACATTTTGCAAATATCACCAGTTAAGGCAACAGCAAATGTTCTAAAACGCAACAGTATGTTATAGAGTATGAGGTGGGCTTTATCGAAGGCTGAGGTAGCTCAGCCGCTTCAGGGTTGAGTTGAGGTCCCACTAACCCCCACTGAATAAAATAAACACAGTAGTTAAATATAGCGAACACAACCACACACACACGCGGCCGTTCGGCCAGGCTGTCGGTACCCTGACGTCCACGAAGAGAGGGGAGAGAGAGAGAGAGCGACTAACTGGTCGGCGGTCGGCGTCGTGGCCCAGAGAGCGGAGACTGTCTAGTGGCTAGTGACGGTG